GAGGCAGGAGACTCGCTTGAGCCCAGGAGTTGGAGGTTGCTGTGAGCGTGATGCCATGGCACTCTACCCAGGGGGGATAGCTTGAGGCTCCGTCTCAAAAAAAAAAACAATAAATAAATAAATAAATAAAAGATCCACCAAGTGTTTATTAAGTACTTTTTATTACCAGCTAAGACGGCCAAAGGTCACTGTAAGAGGCAGGGGGTCACGGCGGTACTGGTCTAAGCGGGAGGGGTCGCGCAGCTGGGAGCAAAGGCGCAGACCTCGATGCCCGACTGCAGGAGCGCCGCTAGGGAAAAAGGAAGCGCACTAACCTCTCGGCCGGAAAAGAAGGGAGCGCAAGGGCGGAAGCTTCCTCGGCAGGACCGCAGGAAAAGTAACCGTAGCCGCACTATCTCCGGCTCCCTCCGCCAACCGGAGACTGCGCAGGCGCACGGAACTCCCGCAGGGGGCGGGCCAGGTGGAACGCAAGCCGCCCGGACCACGTGACTGTCCTACCACGTGACCCCTCCCTCCGCGACGCCTTCCGCTCCCTAGGTGCTGGGCCTCCCGGTCTGCGCCTGCTTCCGCCTTCCGCCCGCTTCCGAATCCTGCCCCGCAGTCGCCCTCCAGTGTAACCGCCCTCGTGCCCGGAAGAGCGCGTTCTAGAGCCAGTCGTTGCTTGCCATTTGTACGGGCGCCAAATAAAGTTTTCTCATTCAAGACAATTTTTTTTTTTTTAAGTCACACGGCTCCCTTTCTCAGCTCCTCCTCCGCGGCAGAACCGTTTCAGTTCCTGCGGCCGGTGAGACCGGGCGTTGGGGCTGCGCGTGCGGGACGGTATGGCGAAGCCTCCGGCGTCTCTCTCGGGACAGGACGTAGGGTTTGTCTCACTTTTTTCCTCCCCACTCCTGTGGAAAGCCGGGCCTCGCCGAGAAGCTGTGGGTGACTAGCGGAGGGCGCCTCTCCCCCGGGCTGCGCTCGAGTCCGCGGACGGGCGCGGGTGTCAAGGCTGGGTCGGGGCCGGGGGTGTCCGCCCTCTGCGCTTGCTCGCGGGAGTCCGGACTTGGATCAGCTTCGCATCCTTTTCTCGCGGGCACTAGTAATTGCGCTTTGGGGGAGTTAAAATTCTCCGTTGAAAGTTGAGAAAGCGCACATCTATTGAGAAATGTCTTTCTTCCTGTTGATCAAATCATCGGCTCACAATAAAAAGAAGCCTGTGCATTTTGCTTTTAGTGGTGACTTTACAGATTGTGGGTGACGTTGTGGGCGCGACTGTCCTTACTTCAAAATGTTGCAAAGATGAGAACACTTTGAAGAAAATGACCCTACCTGGGCAGGAAGTGGATTGATGTCAGAGGGGAACCCATGGCCCCAAATTTAAGCAGATAATTCCTTTCAGGGTCCTGCGAACGGAGGGGGGAGTGTCACCGTAAAATTTGCGTTGTACGCGCCTTTGGCCTCACCTTGGTCCCGGCCAGGACCGTACCCCATAGGTGCAGGTGTCGGAGAAAGTGTAGTGGTTAGAGAAATAATAATACTTTACAGTTAGAGTCAAATCTCAAAGGAATGTTGCTTCTTATTGTATCTGCTGCCTTGGAAAACTAAAACGTCAGTTGCTTTAATGTTACTTCTGTCCCTCCAAAGTATTAGTGATTTTTAAAAATTCTGATCAGAGTAGTTACATTTTAAACCTAATGACTGTTTTAGGATACTCAAACCACCAGAGTGAGAAACTGTTTGCAGTTTTTCCTTAAGATTCTATAGTTATCATTTGTGGAGATGGTTTAAAAACACAAATACTCAAGGTATAACTAATTTAAAAATTGTCTTTTGTGGCTCAAAGATACAAACACTGATCAGCTGACCTCTGTGCCCTATGTTTAAAACAGCACAGAATTTCACCATCCAATAGCCTGTTTTTTCTTTTTCTTTCTTT